AGAGAGAGAGAGAGAGAGAGAGAGAGAGAGAGAGAGAGAGAGAGAGAGAGAGAGAGAGAGAGAGAGAGAGAATGATAAAAGAAGAATGGAAGGAGGCATCTGGAAGGAAACCAGTCAATCTAAGCCAAGCTTGGAATTTGCAAGTGTTGCAAAGAACATATCCAGGTGGTACAGCACTGAGGTTTGCCACTGCACTCACCCCAGAGGTCCCAAGTCCCTCCTCCACCTCCTCCCCTCCCTCTTTCTGTCTCCCTGTGGACTAAGTAGGACTTCCACCAATACATGCATCCACGCAACGATGATGGCCAGAACCATACCACTCTGCCTTTGCCTTCAATGGGTCTAATGGAAGTCGATGCCCCAAGAGCTTCTTCACCGCCACTGCCTCTGCCGAACTCTCATCTGCCAACCGCAGACATCGTGAACGTATGTCTCCCACAGCAGGACCACCTGTTCACCCATCACGAGGACACACCAACCACACGACCAGCGGCAGCAAAACTTTAACCATCAGGGTTCAACCAGGGTTTAAACCAGGGTTATAGCTTTCAAACTTCGGGGAGGGGGTGACAGATAGGGTGGGGCCACCTTGTGGGGGGGAAGGAGGGGAGGGGGGAAAAGAGGGGCAATATAACTAGGGTTCTGCACCCACCTCAAGGCTCAAACCAGGGTCTAATGAATTGCAAGGCCAGGCATTGCGATCGGTATCCACCACACCACACCACGACCACCTGTGCCCCCAAATCCAAATGAGGACACGCGAACCTCACAAGCAGCAGCAACAAATTTTCACCATCAGCATCAGGGTTTTTTTTTGCGGGGGTTATGCATCTCAAACGAGAGGGTTTTTTAACGGATTGGAAGAGACCAGACAAATTAGAAAAGGAAACCAGTAGACTATTTTCCTTCTCTGAGATCGAGAAGCTGTTTTTCCTTTTTCTTCTCTTCTTGAAATTTCGTCCTTTTCCCTTTTTTTTAATGCTCATGAGGACCCAGGCTAATAAGCATTGTGCTGCATCTCAGTCGAATTTCTAACATATAGAAAATTTTCTGAGTTCTAACATATGTGTTTGTTTTTTTGCGGTGGTCCCAACGAGATTTTTTAAGTCGGTTCTTACGTCTCTTTCGAGATGAACAAATAGAAAATAACTTTAAATTAGAAATACACTATGGCTAAGAGCAAGTGCAATGTATCTGTTCTGATCATCAGTTTAATATCTGATCCGCGGTCCATCGGGCCACATGAAAAAAAAAAAAAGTAATATACTAATAAATTAACAATAGTCTAATATGATAGTAATATCTCAATCTGATCAACCCCAAAGTTCACCAGAGTTGAGTGCGAGCCTCACTTTGGCCTATTATGGATTATAATTTATAAGCCTAAATGGACTAAACGGCCCAAACCCGAACCCCCTCTAAAGTTAAAGCCTTAATTTGGAACCCATGTCTTAAACCCTAAACCCCTAAACCCTGTGTACCATAAGCCCTATGACAGAACCATCATGAAGAAAATGTCTCTGGCAGTTCCCACCAAAATTTAAGAGGCCTAAGAGCCCTGATATGCAGCAGCAGCAGCATACCACCGGTACATTCCCCAGCTACCTTATCCCGAAATGCGGCAGCTAGCACTCCTCCAGAAAATCGGCAAGTCGGGCCTACGCGACAAGCAAGGCTGGCGGGGCAAGGCAAGAAGACGGGATTTTGCACCCGCACCGGTTCGTTTTTTTGGGCTCATGTCGCACAAATCGGCATCAGAAAAACGAGGCCAAACGTACTGGTGGTTTACGATGTTGGGCTGAATTGGGAGGCCCAAGAGTAAGCACTCACCGGCATCTAAAAATTCAAAAAATAATAATAATAAATAAAAAATCCTAGTGTTGTTTGGGCCTGAAGTATGTTCCTCGCTTGGAAGACCCGGAATGAGCTCCTCGCTTTTAGTGAAGAGTACGGGTGGTATACTTCTTGTTGTCATTCACATTGTAATTGGAAGACCCGGAATGAGCTCCTCGCTTTTAGTGGGTGGCACGGCTACGTTTCTGCGGGGCACAGTTTTGCTCCTCGCTTCACGTGTTCATCACCATCACAACCCTTGCTTCAGATGCATGGTGACAGCAAACTTAGCTAATTGGGTTATTACCCCCCTTTACCAGGTCCTGGATCATTACCCCCCTCCCCTTTACAGGTCCGGTCTCATTAACCCCCCTTTGACAGGTCCTGGATCATTAAGCCCCTTTAGCAGGTCCTGAATCATTGACCCCCTTTAACAGGATCATTATTCTTGAAAGGATTTCAAGCTGTCTCGGTGTCTCGAATCCCGGTCCCAGTGTCCCATTTGGTCCCAGTTCCACAATTCGACAGGCCCAGCAGCCGAAGTGACATTTCGGAGTCCTCACTTCCGGTAGGGTCTAGTAGTCGAAGAGTCATAGGTCGTTAGGAGTCTGGCTACCGGTAGGTACCCGGCAGAAATTGTCCCAAGTGCCAAAGTCCCACTTTTGCAGAAGCATCCTGGGAAGAGTCCGGTAGGTTCTGGAACTGGCAAAGTGCAGCCGACAAGCCGCAGCGACCAGTACCGGTCCGAAGCCGACCAAGATCTCACAAAAACTGCTATTTATAGATGCTACAGTGCCGCTTGACTTCGCTTGCCGATCCGTTATGATGCAAAGCTCTGCTGTAGCGCTTGTGCAATCCAGCGAGTTCAGCACGGTCGGAGACCGAGGAAGGAGAAGGGCAATCGAGTGCCGTAGGTAGGTAGGGTTGAGAGGAGGAAGAAGTCCACCATAGCTAGTAGGGTAGCGAAAGGGAGAGAGTGAGACGAGTGCATTCAGAGAGTGAGTGTTAGCGATCCAAGAATGGAGAGAGAGATCTAGAAGTGAAGAGAGAATGTGTGTGTGTGTGTGTGTGTGTGTGTGTGTGTGTGTGTGTGTGTGTGTGTGTGTGTGTGTGTGTGTGTGTGTG